GTTTGTTTTTTTCTTCCTGATTTACAAGCTGGATGTCAGAAGTGACATTCAGTCCCTGCCTTGGGCCTCTTGAGATTGACACTCCAGGTTGTTGCTGACGCTAATCAGGAAAGGGCAGAAAGAGTGGGCTCGGGGCTCAAAGGCAGGCCATCCTAGACATGTTGCCACCCAACTTAGTTATGTCAGGTGTAGAAAAGAGAAAACTGGTCTGAGGATACTTAGAAAAAGGTAAATGAGCTCTCTTAGTTTAGATACTAAATAATTATGTAAAAATGATAAGAAAAACATCTATAAACCATATTCGATTATTGGAGTTAGCACTGAGAAGGCGAGAGGCCTGCCAGTATACCCTTACCCCCTGGCCTAGCTGGCCTCCCATTGGGGTCTTGGTCTGGAGCTGGGTTTGCTGTTAAATTGTCTGGCAGTGGCTGGCCATGGGGGAAGAGGCTTGTTCCTGAAATCTCCACTCCTCAGAGGAAAGGCTGGCTTTGGGGAGGCTGCTTTGTCATATTTGTATCTGTCTATCTGATTGCACAAGGTGATGGAGAGGGCCTGGGGAAGCCAGGAGAAGAGTGTGGGTACCTTAACAGATCCTTAACTCTGATGGGCCTTTGGCGGGATATGCAGTGGGCACTAACATTGAATGGGCCCCTGCTATGTACCCTACATCTACTCTCTCATGTAATTCTCATGATAACCATGGAGGTATTACTTTCATGTTGTACATGCAAAAGCTGAGTCTCCAAGGGGGCTAAGTAACTTGCCAAAATCACACAGCTAGTAAGTGGTGGAGCCAAGATTTGAACCTAGGTTTATCTGCCCCCATTATCATACTGTCCCTACTGACCAGGAATTAGAAGACCTGGCTTCAAATCCTACTACCATCAACTGTGCATGTGTGATCTTGAGCCAGTCATATAACCTCTCTGGTCATCAGCTTCCCTATCAGTAAAATGGGGATGACACCAGTCTTGCCTCTCACAGGATTATTGTGAGAATCAAGTGAAATAATGTTTGGATGAGAATTTGTAAAGTACTATAAAAATGCAAGGATTATTTACATTTTAGGAAGAGAAATAAAGGGCTGGACAGTGACCAGGATCTCCCAGAAGCAAGAGTCAAAAGGGGCCTACATTGTAGGCCCTCCTTTCTTGACCCTAAAGTTCAACCATCAAGGGCATTACCTTCTGCTGCATCAGCCTTAGGTCCTCAGTGCCATCTGAGTGGACTCTGGGGAATGGCAGTGGTGAGCAGGAAGGCTGGGGCTGTGGTTCTGGGTTAGTCTGGCTGCTCTCCATGGAGGGGCAGGCCATTAGGGAGCCACAGAAATTTGTAGACCCGTGCCAAAGTCTGCACAGCCTGAGTTGGCCGGGTGGGACAGAGGATCAGACAAAGGGAAGGTAAAATGCAGGGAGGCAGCAGCCAGGTACCCAGGTAAGTGGACATGTGGCTCCCAGAGTCTAGGGAGCAGGGAGGTTGAAATCCCCTGAGGGAGGTCAGGTGGAATGGAGCAGCACTCAGGCCCCCTAGTGCCTGCTAAGCCTTCTAGGGCAGCCCAACTTTGTCAAATTTCATCCTGTACCATCAAAACAAATGGAACAGCCCAAGTCTGAGAAAAGGGTAAGAGGAAATGAATCTGAACTGATAGAGGGATTTAGATTAACTATTGGAAGAGACTTCCTCATGATTGTGAAGCTCTGCAGTGAGTGATGGAGGGGGATTCAGAGATCTTAACAAATGGGGCAGAAAGTGTCCTCAGTTTAAGCTTGGAAGGAGTCTGTGTCAGGAGTAGAGGCAGGGAGCTGGGGTTGGACGAGGCGATATGCCCTGCCAGCTGGAATAAGTTGGTATATGTACTTTCTGTCTTGAGTTCTCTGCTAATGATAGCACTCTTTTCCACAACAGAACACGTGTTACACTTGTGAAGAAACCTTATTGTTAAGTTCTTAGGTGCCGTGGAGTCGATTTTCGACTCCTAGTGACCCTGAGTGACAGGGTAGAACTGCCCCAGAAGGTTTTCTAGGCTGTAGTCCACACGCAAGCAGATCACCAGGTCTTTCTCACGTGGAGCCACTGGGTGGAGCCGCTGGGTAGGTTCGAACTGCCAGCCTTTTGGTTAGCAGCTGAGTGCTTAAGTGTTTTACCACCAGGGCTCCTAAAGAAAGCTTAAAAAAAAAAAACCTGAACCAAACCCATTGCCATCGAGTCTATTCCGACTCATAGCGACCATATAGGTCAGAGTAGAAACTCCACAGGGTTTCCAAGGAGTGGCTAGTGGATTCAAACTGCCAACCTTCCGGTTAGCAGCCAAACGCTTAACGCCTGTGCCACCAGGTCTCCAAAAGCAACGTCCTTTCCTGGCCCGTACAGGGATCAAACCTGCGACCTTGGCGTTATTAGCACCATGCTCTAAAGAAAGCTTAGAGATCTGGAAATATGTTAGCAATGGGGAGAGTGGATATCTTGTTAGCAGAAACATAGATGCCTGTTAGACCTAGAAGTAGGGATCTGTTTCTACTCCCTGCATTGTTCCGGAGGACCGTGTCTCTGGTCTGAGCAGCTCAGGCTTTCCTGCTCTTCATTGGAGAGATGGCTTTGTTGCCTTGTCTGGGGAAAGCATTGTGAGTTTCCATATTTGAAAACCAGAGAGGAGGAGTATCATGGTTTGAATTAAGTCCCCCCAAAAATGTGTGTATCAGTTTGGCTAGGCCATGCTTCCTGGTAGTCTGTGATTTTCCTGTATGTTCTAAACCTGCCTCTATGATGTTAATGAGGGAGGATGGGTGGCAGTTGTGTTAGTAAGGCAGGACCTGATCTACAAGACTGGATTGTGTCCTGAGGC